GACATTTAATGAAGCATTTAATGACGAATGTACTGAGGCATTTACTGAGGCATCTTTCTGAGGCGTTTACTAAAGCATTAATAGTGAGGAATTGAATGATACATTTAATGAAGCATTTAATGAAGCATGTACTGAAGCATCAAATGAGGCATCTTTTTGAGGAATTTACTGAGGCATTTAATGAGGCATTTAATGAAGAATCTACTGAGGCATCTATTGAGGCATCTTTTCGAGGTATTTACTAAGGCATTTATCGCGAAGAATTGAATGACACATTTAATGAAGCATATAATTAAGAATCTACTGAGTAATCAAATGAGGCATCTTTCTGAGGTATTTATAGTGGAGAATTGAATGACACATTTAATAAGGATTTTAATTAAGAATCTACTAAAGCATATAATGAGGCATTAAATGAAGAATGCACTGAGGCATCTTATAAACCATTTATTAAGGCATTTATTGAGACTTTTAAATAGGCATTCAATTAAGTATTTAAAGAGGCATTTAATGAAGCATTTTGCTAGGGCATTTTATGAAACATTTACTGATGCATCTAGTGCAGCATTTAACGAAGCATTAAGGCAAAAACCAAGGTCTGACATATTGCCTATAGTGCAGTTTATTTCTACACATTCATAAGTAATCGGGAAAACAATTTAACAAAAACTAAAAAAGCACAATTTTTCTTTTTCTTCATGAAAAAAATGGTAGTTTCCATTGGTTACAGGTGCTCACAGTAGGCCTATTTTCTAAGCATACTTTTAGTTTTTCTTAATATAGTTAACTATTAATAGTTCATCCGTTCATTAATTAAAACAGCTTTAAATATTCTGTGTTTAAGTCATTAAAGAGAACTTATGGTGGAGAAAAAATGTGTTTGGGGTTTGGGCATCAATTTACCATGATGGACACACAAACAAACTAATGAAAACTTGCAAAAGCAGAGATCCTGTGAAACTATAGGCCATTACCAGTTTAAAGGCCTGGGTCAAAAACTGCCTTCTTTGTTTTTCTCAATTCCTGAAGCAATTACGGAAATATTGTGTTTAAATCTCATCCACATACAAACAGCCGAGGATGTCTATGGTAACTTGGTCCAAAACATGCATCTCAAAAAACCCCAAAGCATTCAGTTTCAATGTGATAATGTGTTATATGGCGGTGGCTGCAGGCGATGATGAACTTAGCTTTGATGAAGAAGGTTTGAGAGTGAGGAAATACACAAAAAGAAAAGACAATACCAAGACTACAGCTGCAGCAGGTCCAACAAACGCATAGAGAAGCCCTCCTTCCAAGGACAGCCAGCAGCTTCCAAAGGGCAGCAGGAGAAAGAAAAGTGGAGCCAGATGGTTGGATGTTTGGGTTGGTGAGAAAGGGGCAGAAACAGAGAGGGGTGCAATAGGAAGGAATGAGAGAAGTGTTGGCAAATAAGAGGGAGGAACATGAAATATGGATAAAACAAAGGAAGAGAAAAGGTTAATTAAGCCGTAAACATAAACTTTCTCATGTGTAACATTGCAGCTTTAATATCAGGCTCCTCTCCTGTAGAACCAGCTACCAATTTAGTCATTGAGACACACCCTGTCTTCTTATTATGCAAGGCTTAAACTGTTCCCTCTTATAAAGCTTATAGTTAAAAACAAAGTGATGTGTGCCCGCTGCTGGGTAAGTAGATAGGTAGGTGGAGGTAGAGCGTTAACAGTCTGATCAGGCGAGGGAGAATTTAAGTACCGATAGATGTTTCTCCTTGGCTCTAACTTTCTTATAACACATCAAAAATATTTTACTATTTTCTGCATTTGTGCTGCTAGCGGCTTAAACTGCTGGAGGACAGAGGGACCCCTTTTTCTGCTAAATCTGTACGTTGTGCTCTCTCTGCTTTTTCTCATAGAAGCTTCATCTGGTCTGTTCCT